TTATTTACATTTTAGATAAAAACATGACATTTCGAGATTTCGCAAAGGATCGTGTTTCCCTCGATCTAGTGCTACGCTCAATTGATGTTTTTGTCTTTACGTCTGCTTCAGAAAAAAATAGTTTTTCTTTCGTCAGGAGGTGGACCAAAGAGCAATATTGGAAATTTAGCGTCTTTTTGCAGTAAAAAAAAACAAACCCCAAAACATTGTTTTGGAAATTCTTGCAAAAATCAATTAATTTTCAGATCAATTAATGAAATTTTCAGGACTTAAATTATTTTTGAAATTTTTTTTAGAAAATCTGAATGAAATTTCTTTTTGTTTACATCTGTTACCTCCACTTAATTTGTTTTATGAAATTTTGAGAAATTAAAATTTCAGTCTCCTATTTATATTAGGGAAAAGCAGGATTCCTTAGAGAATTTGAATCATCAATTTCTTTTTGTCAATCAGAAACACCATTTACTGAACATCTGTTCTGAATCGTAAAGTAAAAAATGCAATAAAACTATGATATTATTTAATTAGAAAAGCTTCTTAATTGCTTTTATGTTAAGAACACTATTGTCTTAAGAATTTTTTTGATGAATAATGCATTTTTACAAGAATTGTTTTTCATTTTTTGAAACTTTTAATTAAAAATATTTATTAAGTTTTAAATCTTTTCAAATTCTATATTAATATTAGCATTTTACATTATATTATTATTAAGTGAAAACTATACTTACTAATCATAAATAAAAAAAAGCTTAATACAAATCATCAAACACGAATATTTTAAAAAGAATTTGGAATTTTATTTTTATGGGCGACCATAAACGAAAATAAGAGCTATAACTATAGTAAATTTAAAGTTAACATTTCTAAAATTCAATAAAAACATTAGATTACATAGAATATTTTCCTAAATTTTTAAGATTATTGAGTACTTAAAAATTATATAAATTCTATTTGTTTCAAATTAGATTAATTATACTTTAAATCAGTTAATATTTCTTAAATAAGGTTTAATAAAAGTACATTTTATTTTTGGATGATTTTTTTAATAAAGAGAATTACATTGCAATTAAAGACAACTATAAAAAGGTGCTAATCAGCTTTTTAGAAAAAAAAACAAAAAACAAAACAAAACAAAATAAAAAAAAACAAGCCTTCCAATCAATTTAAATTAGTTTTTGAAATACAGCAACGTATTTTGCTTATTGGAAATATTAAATTTAATGTATTAGATTGAAATTAAAACTAAAATAAAAGTTTCAAGCAAGATTTTTCGTTTTAAAAAATCCATTTTAAACCTTAGGCATCGCGTTTTCTGTGGAGACCCCTACCTTAAGGCTTGATAAACTGTAAAAAAACAAATCAATGAAAAAACCTTTTTTTTCCTTTCGCTACATTTTTCCTTTTCTTTCGATTTTCTTTCTTTTTACTTTTCCTTTAAATATCCTGTAAAGAAGCGGCCCTCAACTTTTTTGCACCACGGAGCCGTGGCATGCAAGACAATTTTTCCTCTGACCTTTTGAAGTGGGGTGTACTCGGTGCCGGTCACGCGCATAACAAAAAAAAAACAAAAAAAAAAAACACAATAAACTAGACTGCGATAGTCAATAAAATGGAAGAAAAAAGAAAATTTTATTTTTCTGGGTGGCCCGGTACCTAGTGGTCCGCGGCCCGGTGGTTGGGGACCGCTGCTGTAAAGGGATAAGCTGTATAAAACGAATCAATAAAAAAAAAAAAAAAAAAAAAAAAACAATAACATAAGTGATTCGGATTTTGAAATGGTTTAAAAAATAAACACAGTTTAAATTTAGGGCAAATTTTGCTTTAAATTAATTTTCCCCATTAATCTATTTGAATATCAAAACTCCTGGGAAGTTTATGTGAATACCAAGTTTCTCATGATACATTCCTCGACTTAGAAATGAATATCTCAGATGGTGTATTTATTTTGTCGCGGGCCGGTGTATGCGCTAAAAGATAAACACCCGTGTCTCCTGAAATGCCCACAACAAACATAGCAAACTCGGGATGTGAATCCACGTAAATAAATGAAGGGAACGACAAGAACCAATATATATGTACAAATGATAATGTTTTAACAACAAAGGTATACAAGCGACAAAAACAATAATGTGTGTAATAAATGAATGTGGAAACCGTTTTGGTCCAAATTATGTGTAGTGAGTGAATGTGCGTACGTACATATGTGTGTGTGTGTGTTTCTATATATGTATTGTTCATGCTCTTCCCGAAGAAGCGCATGAACAATACATATATTTCCGCGAGAGGTTACATCTTTTCCGCGAGAGGTTACATGTTGGCGAATAAGATCAGAAGTGGGTGAGAAGAGAGCGAGAAAAAATATCGCCGAGTATTTATAGTCCGGAAAGCGTCTCCTAGGAGCGGTTTCGAAAATTCAGTCAGTCAGTTATGTCCCATGCGTAACAGACGCTTAGACGATCATGTATCTTTCGATACATGACTGACGAGGCAGATTTTTTTCCCGCACTAGATTGCCATTTCATTCTGCGGCAGACCAGTTGCCATCCAAGGCTTTAGAACCCGATTTGTCCTGCTATTTACCCATAGGAGGAGAAGAAGTTTCATACTTTTCCCAAGGGTATTAGCACGTAAGTGAATGTAATGGATTCGACTGGAATTTGAACTCTGCTCTCCGATTCCTCAATCCGAGCCGCTATCCATTACTCCACCGTGCCTCCCCACTTTCGAAAATTAGGAGGAGGTAACCCGACAATTTATAATCTTTTCTTTATCGTTCGCATGTCTCATCTAACTGACAACATCCCGTTGCACGTGTTCAATCATGTCTTCGCATCTCTCGATCGACACTGTTTTATGCAAAAAATTTTTCTGGTTCTACCAATCTTATGAAAAGAATCAAGGTGGATAAGAGATTAAAAGTCTTAAACGGATTTCTAAACCTATTTCCTTTATCCATTTCGAAATTCTCTAAACCCCTAAGAGTAACCATATGTGATATTAAATCTCGATTAGTAGTCGGAGTCCCATGAAAGGTAAATCGCGTTTACTCTAGGATCCGCACCTGACAGATGCAATGATGATCGGCTTCAATGTTTTTGATTTTTCAACGCAGCCACTTTTTATTCATGCACCTGATGGAACTTTTTTCTCTAACTTTTATGCAGTCTACTATTTTAGTCCAATTATTCCACGTTTTCTATGATGACATGCATTTTTGATTTCTGTGATGAGACATGATATTATCTACACTGATATATATATATATGCATATATATATATGCACATATATGTATATATATGCATATATATATTAACATATATGTATATATATGCATAAATATATGCACATATATGTATATATATGCATAATTATATGCACACACACACATATATATATATATGCGCATATATATGCACGCGCATACACACACACACACACACACACACATATATATATATATATATATATATATATATATACACTGAGTGTAACAGCAAAAATGGCCAATGTTAGATTAAGCTTTGAACCGTTGTATCTTAGAAATGATTAAAGATATCTTACTGGAATTCTCCGAGGTTTTTTATAACACTACTGAACTCTACATTGAACAATAAGAATGTATTTAGCTCTAAATCAGTGGATCTCAACCTTTTTTTACCCATGGACCCCTTTCCCCTTCTTTTTATCTTGGTGGACCCCTTCATAGCTATTGGACATAAGAACAATTTTCTATTCTTCACTAATATAAATTTTAAGGTTTTAATTATCAAAGAAATAGTATACGATTAAGCTTTTTTTTTAAATGAAAACTAATTTAATACAAATAAAATATTCTACTATAATTATAATAATAATTATTATTACTATTTTTAATTAACACAACAATTGAGTTTTGCCTGTGGACCCCCGGAAATATTACATGGACCCCGGTTGAGAACCACTGCTCTAAATGATTGAAATGATGATCCCTCTTGCTTTTGTGACCTCCTGATTCATTTTTCCTCTCTACTGTTCCCTCTTTTTTTAAATCCTATTCATCGTTTTCTTGATGGTTCTTGAATGGACTTTCAAGCTAGCAGCCACATTATGAATGTTCGTACCATTACTGAAGGTTTGAATGATCTTTTATTCTCTTGCTATTGCTCAGTTGGAAAGATAAAGTGGTGCTGACACAAAACGATTTTAACCTGTTTTCTTTCTAGCTGAGTAACTCAAAGGGTTTTACAGTGATTCAATGATGTCAAAATGGCTGACTGTCTTATATGAAAATCTGGAAAAAAGAAACTTAATTAGTTTAATGGATAATATATATATATATATATATATGTGTGTGTGTGTGTGTGTGTGTGTGTGTGTGTGAGAGAGAGAGAGAGAGAGAGAGAGAGAGAGAGAGAAAGAAGGCACGGTGGATAGCGGCTCGGATTGAGGAATCGGAGAGCCGAGTTCGAATTTCAATAGAATCCATTACATTCACCTACATGCTAATATCCTTGGCTTGGGAAAGGTATTAATCCTCATCTTCTCCCTTCAGAATATGGGTAAACAGTAGGACAGACTGGGTTCTATAGCCTTGGATGGTAACTGGTCTAGGCGAAGGACAACTTTGAATTCAAAACCTGCGGAGGGTTGTTTGGGGACCTTTTGGCACGTAGTGCACCAGTTCTGTGTGGTTGGTTCTGCACAAAGCCTTCACCACTATAATCAAATCATATGTGCTCGTGTCTGGGCTCTCGATTCTTAGGAACTGAGCTGCTTGACCCTTATATGTCGAATACAACGAGAGAGTCCACCACACATACACACACACACACACACACACACACACACACACACACACACACATATATATATATGTGTTTGTGTATAGTAAGATAAGTTTTTGAAATTGTTGCGATGGAAAAGCTATATGCGTGTGTGTGTAAATTTTCTAAAACAGATCCTCTTTTGTGAATACACCATTCATTTTTATTGACTATTATTTATTTCTTTAACTTGGCAGTTATGGATTGTCCCGGAAAATCGAATTTATGGTAAGCAAATATTCAATCTTAAAAAAAATTCTTTTTCTTCTCATTGATCGATATATTTTCTTTCAATTGATCGAAGTATTTACCCACTTTTTGTAACGCTTTTTAAAACAACCTTTATGTAATAATCCCCATGTAACATCTTTAAATAATCCTAGCTTCTCAGAAATAATGTTTACAGTAAAAAAAAAAAAAAAAAAAGGAGAAGAAATATGATGTATCAGAAGAATATATTGTTTCAATTACACATTAATAATCGTCGTCGTCGTTGGTGAATCTCCTTGCTGAGTAATGAGCTGCTCATCAACATTTTCTTCTATGTTAAATGTCCCATGTTGGAGCTGAAGAAACGTCTGCAGTAGGGTAGCAGGGGTCAGAGGATCTTTCTTTTGGGCTCTCTTCATCTCATTTATTTGTCTTCTGGCGTTTTCGAAAATATGTTGCTTTTTCGTGGACTGATCTTTTCCAATTGGTTCTTTCTACAGCTTCCGTCTCCTAATTGACCGGATCGATTTCTCTCCTCAGCAAGGTGTTTTTGAGCTGACCTTTGAATCGACGACGTGTGGCTGCAGGTGGCCTCTTGCCAGATGCGATCTCCGAGAAGATGATTTGTTTGAGTAGGCGTTTGTTTGGCATTCGGGCAAAGTGTCCGGCCCATCGAAGTCGGTGGCAACTCATGATGGCTTCTAGGTTCCCCATCTTTGCGCGGAAGAGAACTTCGTTGTTCGTGATCCGGCTCTACCAAGTGTTCCGCAGGATTTGACTAAGTTTCATTTGATGGAATCTTTCAAGTTTGCGGATGTCTATTCGGTACCGTTCCCAGGTTTCACAGTTGTACAGGAAAGTCGAGATTACAACAAATCGATAGACCACCATTTTGGTGGTTTCTGTTAGCCCAAGATTGTCGAAGGCTCTTTTGAATAACTTCCCGTATGCTGCGTGTGCAGCCTTGATTCAGTTATCGACGTCTTTTTCAGCGGATGCATTTTATGTTAGTACGCTACCAAAGCATGGACATTGTTCAACATTCTCCGGGTTCAGTCCGTTGATGTGGATTTTGACTTCAAGTAATTGTTGATATCCCGGTCGTGGTTGAAACAAGACTTTGGTCTTTGTCATGTTGATGGTGGGTCTGTAGTGCCTTTACGCTCTAGAGTTGTTCGCTGAGTTCTGGAGGACATTAATAATAATAATAATAATATTAATAATAATAATAATAATAATAATAATAATAATAATAATGTGGAAACTTAAAACTACGATTATCCCATTATCCCAGTTGTGACAGAGGCATTGAGTATGATAAAGAAGGGTACAGAAAATCATGTGAGTAAAAATCATGGACACATCAGATTCTCGGAGTTATAAAAGATTACTTTGTGCGAAACGGCACATATCATCCGTAAAACCCTCTCCACCTAAACGAAACGTCCCAGATGTCTGGAGATAACTCATCTACAGTGCCCTTTTTACTCATAGACTCTGGTGGTGACTTGCAGATTAGGTACTTAAAATTACACGTTCGCAAGATGATACTACACAATAATAATAATATTGGGTTCAGAGATAGACTTTAGATATTTATATGAAATAAGCTTCAGCGAATATATATATAAAAAACGAAAATAAATTTGATAAATAATAATAATAATAATAATATCAGATATCTTAATTTGTAAAACAAATATTTGCTTCTTTGATGTCCGTTTATGTGTGAATAGATGTTATGGTTCACGGATACCCTCACAGTAGTAGTAACAAGTAACATGCAATTTTTTCTTTTTTTCCTTTTCTCTCTTGATAAAACTTAATTTTCATGTCTATAATATAAACGATCATATTAATTTCTAAATTTTATTTACAGGCAAATTTGTGCGTAAAAATGTCGACCACCTGACCTCGGATGAGATTCTCGAACTTCAAGTAGCGCTGCGTAGTATGCAAGACGATGATGGACCCACAGGTTACCAGGCCATTTCTGCCTACCACGGAGAACCAGCCGACTGTAAAGCTGCTGATGGTTCAACCATTGTGTGCTGTCTGCATGGCATGCCTTCATTCCCCATGTGGCATAGACTCTACATTGTGCAGTTCGAACAAGCAATGGCTTCTCACGGTTCCAAACTTGGTGTTCCTTATTGGGATTGGACCAAACCCATGACACACCTTCCAGAACTTGTACAGCATCCATTGTTTATCGACCCAAGTGGTAAAAAGGCGAAGAAAAATGTTTTCTATTCTGGCGAAATCAAATTTGAACATAAAATTACAGCAAGAGCTGTTGATGATAGACTTTATGATGCTTCTAAGAAAGGCCACGAAAACTTTCTTTTGGAAGGAGTGCTTAACGCTTTGGAACATGAAGATTTCTGTCATTTCGAAGTTCAATTTGAGGTTGCCCATAACCCTATCCACTATTTGGTCGGAGGCAGAATAACTCACTCTATGTCCAGTCTGGAATACACATCTTATGATCCTATCTTCTTCTTGCATCATTCCAATGTAGAACGACAGTTTGCTTTGTGGCAAGCCCTTCAAAAGCATAGAGGACTTCCAACCAGAGCCAATTGCGGTTTGAACCTTTTCCACGAACCAATGGAACCGTTTGGTCGTGAAACAAATCCGATCGCCTTGACCAAGGACAACGCCAAACCCAGTAGCGTGTTCGAATACGATCAATTGGGATATGAATACGATGACCTCACTTTGAATGGAATGAGCATTGAAGAGTTGGATAACCTGCTGAAAGCGCGACAGACCCGTCCAAGAGTTTATGCTAACTTTAGGTTGGGAGGAATCCAAACGTCTGCGAATATTAAAATAATGCTATGTATTCCTTCTAAAGACAAAAGACACAGTGATAACTGTGATAATGAAGCTGGCCAGTTTTTTATTCTTGGAGGCATACACGAAATGCCATGGAACTTTGCTTATCCCTACCTTCACGAAATTACAAACATTGTCAACGCTGTTGGATTGGAGTTGGAAGGAGACTATTATGTAACGGTTAAGATCACGGCCATTAACGGAACTTTGCTGGCAGACGACATAATTCCACACCCAACTGTTTCTTATATTCCTCCCCGTGGATTTCGTGACTGTAAGTAGATCATTACCATTTATTTTCTATTTGAAATGGAAGTTTGTGTAATGTACTGTTTATTCATTTCTGAACGAACTTTTTATATCAGACGCCATTTTGCTAAACTGGCGCTCAGCTATTATTTTGACAAATATATATATATATATATATATATATATATATATATATATATATATATATATTTTCATTGAATAATATAGACTTATTGTGTACATATTTTTATACTGATCCATTCCAGTTGTCTAATCAGTTTTTTGATGTTAAGATGAAATTCATCATGGAAGGCGCCGTAGTTTTTCTAACCCAAGTATTTTCGATCTTTTCCAAAATCGTCTTCAGGGTTAATTTAAAAAGATAAACTTATTTTAACTGCGATGATGTCTGCATTCCGTTTTGATGGCGATTTTTTAAATACACACGCGAAGACGCTTTCTTATTGTTATTTTAAAAATTTGCATTTATCCGTTGTAGTTACGGAAGTTTTTGCAAAACAGGTGTTTCAATATAAGGGAGCCGACAGGAAATTGTTAGAAATGTAAAATTGCATTAGATGTTTGTTCTATTCCCTTTAATATGTTGTTGCTATATTCATAATAAATTTTGTTGGTTATTGGTTGGTTGATTTCAGTTTAAATGTCCTTTGGGAGATTGTATCTCTAACAATAAATAAGTACATATGTTGGGTTGACGACCACAACATTATCTAGACATCTTACCCTTCATTTGTCGGATACAAGTTCTATTATACAACATCTAAAAACACATTACTGTCCACCTTCACAATAAAATAAAATACTTGTTGACAACACCAATATGCTACACCAAGCAAATAATAAACAAAAACTTAAAATTCTCAAGGTCCTCTATATCAAAATTGTTGTAGCATACCTACGGACGATAATGGGTATGTCAAATGTACTATAATAAATGTCTCGACCTCAAACCACTCTGTCCAGAAGACTACTCTGGTCTGGAGGTTTAAACAAAAAACAATGAAGTTATTGTTATATTATTTAAGCAAGATTCCTTATTTTACTGATGGAATAACAGGATAACTAACTAACAATCAACAAAAAAAATGAAAATTCCTTATTTCAAACGAAATACAGTTAGAAATGACAAATTATATTAGGAGACACTTGTTTCTGCTTATTGTTCGATAACTTCACCACATCAGGTAAAATATTTGTCGATGACAGGAATAAAACATCATTCAGGTGGTCATCACATTCGTCGCATTGACTCCAACTGATATTTTTATGTCATTTGTTCCACAAATGAATTAGATAATTAGTGATCTGGTGTCAAGCTGGCGAGCCGAGCAAAAATCTTTCGCGGGCCGGATGTGGCTCGTGGCCTGTGGACCGTGGGTTGCCGACTTCTGGCCAGGTAGATTAAAGGTTTGTTTCGTGAATTTGGTGACATAGTAATTGTGAGTTCAATCCCTGGGCTGGGCAATGTGTACTTGGACTCAGTGAAAACAGGGCGAGCAATAACTGAGCAGTACTAAAAATAAGAAATAGAAAAAATATCTCTAGACATGGCCATAGGAAAAAGAACAATCTACCCCGTTGATTAAATAAAGAGATGAGTTCAAAATTCCTACAAAGTTAGACTTGATGAAGGCCGGAGGTCACAACCGCCGAAACGTTGTGGTTAGTTGGTTAATTTTGTTTAGCGGCATATCAACCTCTATGGGTTATTTCATGCCAAAATCTAAATATTTTGATCGTAATTGTATGCCTTCAGCTACAAATAAAATGTATTGCTGGTAATTTTATTATAAATATGTATTGTTGATAATTTTTATATAAAAATGTATTGCCAGTAATTTTTCTATAAAAATGTATTTTTATACTATCATAGTGTTTTGTTTTTGTTTCGGTTTTCACTATTAGCCCATAGCTGGACCTCTAAGAGGTGCTATCACCCCAGTTCAGGGTGGCCCTGGGAGCATCAGCAATTAAGAGATGGTTCCACTCTCCGCAAAAACTCCAATCTCCCGATCAGAGTCCTTACTTCCGGATGTCATTTATCTTCATACCAGCACTCGAATCGTTGTGATAATAACAACGAAGATGTAATTAATTTAATTCACGAGTAAACGAGTTCGTAATATCTTACAAGGCTCGAACTAATAATGAAATAAGAGATACCATATTTTATATTTCTCGTCAGTACCATGAACGAATAAGACTACGGTTTGAAAAATGTGTAAACAATCACTTAAGAGAGCTGTTCCCATTCGATGCAGAGCGCCTCATAGGTACAACGCGCCTCATTGATGCGGCGGAAGTGGATAGTAGCTGAGGCAAAATGAGTGAACGAGAATCAAATATCTAGAAACAGTTTTAAAAAATTCATATACCAAAAATATGATTTCAAATTTTAAAATATTATTATAGATGTCTTGTAATTGCATGCATGAGTCCCAATATAAATAGTTATGAATAATTATTGACCGATTTTATCATTGTGATATTTTTGCATTATATCAAGTATTAAGAATATAGTAACTAGGCTCCGCAAATTGGCGGAGAGAGTTATCAATGATAATTTTTTGACTTCAAATCCGTGGTTATCTCTCTTTAACACTCGATCTGTTTTTTTTTTTTTATTTATTTTTAAATGTACTTTCTATCACATAAAATTTGAGGCGCGAGCAAATTTTTATTCCGAAAATGCGACCCAGAGAAAAAAATTGGGAACCACTGACTTATGGTATTGATAGAATTAATTTTCAGATACAAAGATGAGTCATAAAGTGTTGTTTTCTTTCTGATTTTATTAGCGAAAATGCAAGACGTTGATGAGACCAGACTAACAACCCGAAAGAATGTCAACTCATTGACTAAAGAAGAGGAATACAAACTCAGGGTGGCCATGGAACGTTTTATGGCTGACAAATCCATCAATGGTTACCAAGCCCTGGCCGAATTCCACGGTCTTCCGGCAAAATGTCCCCGACCAGACGCCCTTAACCGTGTAGCCTGCTGTGTGCACGGTATGGCAACCTTCCCCCACTGGCACCGATTGATAATCGTTCAGTTTGAAGACGCCTTAGCAGCTCGTGGCTCTCCCATAGGTGTTCCCTATTGGGACTGGACCAAACCCATCAAAACACTTCCTCGGCTTGTTGCTGACGAAACCTACGAAGATCCCTATACCAACGAAACAAAGACTAATCCTTTTTTTCAAGCGCCGATAGAATTCTTAAAGGCTGGCGTATTCACTGCACGCCGAATCGATCCACAGTAAGTGTTAATTATTCGCCCCAAATGTTTGTACATCCAAATTTCTTTTTTAAAAAAAGAGAGCATACTATGATGTAAAAAGGCTCCCAACGTGATGAAAACAAAGTTTTATCTTCAAAATCTTTATTTTGTTATTAAGAGGAAAGACCGAAGTATTTTTTGATTATTTTATTAATTTTTTAATCCTTTCGAGTAGATGATTATATGGAATTTTAGCATCATTTTTGGCATTGTTTTTTTAAATTTTTGCAAAAATCAAACAATAGTTGGATTTTAATTAAATTTTCAGGACTTATTCACAAATGCATTAAATTATTTTTGAAATTCATTTTTTTAGAAAATCTTGCTAAAAATATTATTGTTTTACATTCGTTATCCATTAATTTAATTTGATGAAATTTTAAGAATTTCAAAATTTGAAAATTAGTTAAAAGCAGGATATCTTGGAGAATTTAAATCATCAGTTTGTTTTGTCAAACAGAAACACTATTTACCAAAACTTTTTTCCTAATTGTAAAATAAAAAAGACAATAAAACTATGACATTGTTTAATTAGAAAAGCTCCTAATTTCTTTTATAAATAAGATATATTAAGAACACTATTGTCTTAAGAATATTTTTTCGATGAATAACGAATTTTTACAAGAATGTTTTTTCATTTTTTTAAAAATAAATAAAAAATTTATTATCTTTTAAATCTTTTAAAATTCTGTGATAATTTCAGCTTTTTAGATTATATTATCATTAAGTAAAATCTATATTTACTAATCACAAATGGAAAAGCTTAATGCAAATCATCAATCACCAATATTTTAAAAAGAGGTTTGATTTTATTGTATTTATGTAAACATGACGATTTTTGTAAGTACGGGCGACAATACATGACATATCAGAAAATAAGAGCCATAACTATAGTAAATTTAAAGCCAGCATTTCTAAAATTCGATTAGATTACAAGGAATTTTTTCCTAAATTTTTAAGATTATTGAGTACTTAAAAATGAAATTGCAATTGCACGTCATTTTCTTTAATTATGTTTTACAGATAAAGTCTCCGTAGAGAAACATTATACCTGGCATCATGTTGTCAACACAGCTACTGTCAGGTTAAAAATGCATTTCTGTGATATTTTAAACTTAAAGTAAATAATATTTGTTTCAAATCATATTAATTATACTTTAAGTTAGCTAATATTCCTCAAATATAGTTTCAGAAAAGTATATTTTATTTTTGGAAGATTTTTTAATAAAGAGAAATACGTTGCGTTGAAAGACCTTTTAAAAAGGTCCATAATCAGTTATTTTAGCAAAACAATCTCCTTCCAGTCAATTTAAATTAGTTTTTGAAATACACCAAAGTATTTTGATTATTGGAAATATTAAATTTAATCTCTTAGATTGAAATTAAAATTAAAATAAAAGCTTCAAGAAAGATTTTTCATTTTTAAAAATGGATTTGAAATCTTGTTGTGGATCTCTCAAATTATAACCGATTTCTTTATATACTCTAGTTATTGTAATTCTTAAATGTGAATACTCGTACACCTAGGTGTAAACGCGACCTATGTCTCGTATTTTGACACTGGTCAAAAAATGAACATGTATCTACATTTCTGACTAGTCACTGTGATTTGTGGTCCAATGAGACAAACGTTCTACTAATCCAATAATCTATTCATATATTAATACCATTGTCAATTCATTATCTTTCTTCGTATCTTTCTCTATTTATATCTGTCTCCATATATGTCATCACATCTAAATCTATTCACATCTTAGTCTAAGCCTATTCACATCTGTCTTCACATCTATCTTAGTCTACATACAACTGTCTTCCCCATCAACCTTAGTCTATTCATCTGCCTCCATATCTAACTTTATTTATTCATATCTGCCATCACATCTAAATCTATTCACATCTTTCTTCACATTTATCTTACTCAATTCATATCTGTCGCCATATCGAACTTTATTTATATTTGCCATCACATCTAAATCTATTCACATCTGTCTTCACATCTTAGGCTATTCACATTTGTCCTAACATCTATTAGTCTATTCACATCTGTCTTAATCTATTCACATCTGTCTTCAGATATCTACTAGTCTATATTCATTTGTCTTTCCCATCAACCTCAGTCTATTCATATCTGTCTCCATATCTAACTTTATTTATTCATATTTGCCATCACATCTAAATTTATTCACATCTGTCTTAGGCTATTCACATCTTTCTTCACATTTATCTTAGTCTATTCATATCTGTCTTCACAGTCAATTCATACCAGTCTCAATATTTAACAGTCTGTTCGTTCATGCTATCACATCTATCAGTTTATTCGCGTCTCTTTATTCATATCTGTTTTCAGTTTATTTATATCAGTTATCTTATCAGTCTTAGTCCCTGTTTATTCTTTTTTTGTCTTCACATTCAAATTTATTTTCATATTTGTGTTAGTCTGTTCATATTTGCCATCGCATTTAAGTCTGTTCACCTCTATCCTCACATCTATCTTAGTCTATTTATATTTACTATCACATCTATTTCAGCCTATTCACGCCTGCAATCACATCTTAGTCTCTTCACATTTCTCTTCCCATCTATCTGAATCTAGTCATTTCTTCGATAACATCTATCTTAGTTTAATCATATCTGTTTTCCTATATAACGTAGTTAACTTATATCCGACATCACACGTCTTAATCCCAGTCTGTTCATATCTGTCTTCACGTTTATCAATTTATTCATATCTATTTTCACATCTATCTTAACCAATTCATGCTTTAATCTGTTCACATCCGTCCCCGTTTATGTAAATATTTATTCATTTATCTACTTTCAGACTTTTCATGCAGCCAGAAATTGGTGACCATGGCTATCTTTTTGACGGTATGATGCTGGCCTTTGAGCAAGACGATTTCTGTGACTTTGAAATACAGTTCGAAATAACCCACAATGCTATTCACGCTTGGATCGGGAGCAACGAGACTTACTCCATGTCCTCTTTGCATTACACCTCATTTGACCCACTGTTTTGGTTGCACCATTCTCAGGTCGATAGACTCTGGGCTATTTGGCAAGCTCTTCAAATCCAAAGAGGAAAGCCTTACAAAACTTACTGCGCTAACTCGGAAGTTCATCGTCCTATGAAACCGTTTGCTTTTGAATCTCCGCTCAACAATAACGAAATTACAAGAGAACACTCGGTACCTACCAACGTCTATGATTATCGATCCGAATTTGAATACACTTACGATACTCTCTTCTTTGGCGGCATGTCCATCCGAGCGTTGCAGAATCGTATCGACGCTAATAAAGCTACAGACCGAGTATTTGCTGGTTTTCTGTTCATGTCCATCTACACATCGGCTACCGTGGACCTTTTTGTCATTGTAGATAACGACGAAATTAGAATTGGTTCGATCGCGATTCTCGGCGGCACTAAGGAGATGCCTTGGCGATATGACCGACTCTATAAGCATGAAATCACGGCTGCTCTCATAGCACTCGGCGTAGATATACACGGGGAATATTTTCTCCGTGTCGAAATTAAAGAAATGAATGGTACTGCCATACCGGCTTCTGCGGTACCTCCTCCAATTGTTATTTTCGTGCCTAAAAAAGGTGAGCCAAGAATTTATTTGTAAAAATCTCGATTGTTTATATTTGAGTCTGTAACCATTGACTTATTTCGGGACCGGTAAATGTCGATTGTTTTTATTTGAGTTAATAACCATTGATTTGGTTCAGGATAGGTAAATGTCGTTCATTTATATTTGAGTGTATAACCATTGACTTAGTTCGGGATAGGTAAATGTTGATTGATTATATTTGAGTCTGTAACCATTGACTTGCTTCGGGATCGGTAAATTTCGATTGTTTTTATTTGAGTCAATAACCATTGATTTGTTTCGGGATAGGTAAATGTCGGGTGTTTATATTTGAGTCTGTAACCATTGACTTGTTTCAGGATAGGTAAATGTTGATTGTGTATATTTGAGTCCATGACCATTGACTTGGTTCTGAATAGGTAAATGTCGTTCTTTTATATTTGAATCTATAAGCATTTAATTGATAGGTAGACCCTTTTGGGGAGTATCTTATTTCTCTGAAGGCGTATTGGTGTATTCTAGTGCATGCAGACTGGACTGTATTGTTTAATTAATAAATGTAGCATAAAAAGAGTAATTAAGCGATTTTTTTTTGCAAAAGTTTATGCTCAAGAATCTTAGACTTCAGAAAAGGCATGATTCGAGAAAATTTAATCAAACCAACATATGAGTATTGATTTTCTACTATTATTATTCTGACCTTCTTCTCTCTACAATGGATAAAACATAATTTTTGTGAGCATATCTTAAAAACCTTAATTTCTTATCTCCTTATAAATAGTATTTATGAAAATAAACTAAAAATAAAAAAGAGAATGCAATCAACCTGGTATAAGGTACTGTATGGGTAAGGTATAAGATACCAGCTATAGGTATATAGCAGGACAGACCGAGATCTATAGCCTTGGATGGCAACTGGTCTACCGCAGGAAGAAATGGCAAATTACTGCGAGAAAATGTGCCTCGTCAGTCATGTATCGAAAGATACATGATTGTCTATGCGTGCATCACGCATAGCCCATAACGGACTGGCTGATAAGGTACGCATCGACTTTACATGTAAATAGTTGATCATATAAAATGCATTGGTGCTGCCGATGATTATACCGAGTGCAAGAGAAATACTTCCCACACATATACCCACGCCAGAAATGCTTCTCACATAATGGTAAGACATTAGATAGGTGAGGGCACAACTACCACTAATGTCTTATCCTTATATGGGGGGTATTTTTGATAATTTTAGGTGGGAGGTATTTCTCCCGCACTTATAATCAGATCTTGAGCCAAGAAAACATAGCTTAAAGTCTGACTTGAAACGATCAACGTCATTTTCTCTATTAGTTTTTTATCGTCTTCGGAAATACAAAGTATCAAAATAACAACGCCGCAAACAATGCCAGCGAATCGAGTTCGAACTCAGGTTGGGCTTGTTTGCAGCAGTGCCTTTAAGAAAAGCATGAATTCATTTCCCTCCTTCTGCCTCAGAGCCAGATAATTTGACAGTGAAAAGAATCTTTATTCTCTAGCATTAAACAAGTCATTAAGCAATTAGGTAAATATCTTTTCTATATCTACATTCCGCGCAGATACTTGCCACAAAAGGTCGATTGAGGCCAATTAGAAATCACTGAACAATATTTAAATATAAAACTAATGCAAAAAGAACCAATTAATGTATGGCGAAAAAACAACGAAATCCCATTTACACTTCTGTCTCTCAGTAAAATTTGTAAATACGACGTCAAATAAAGTATTTTTTTCATTCCACCAAGTTACTTCAAATTCCTTTTATTTAATAGATGAGAATTAATTTAAATGTATTTTTCTCTCTGTAGTGGAAAGTGTGAAATTCGATGAGACCCACCGGTCCAGAAAAGATGTTGCCAGTATGACCAAGCAAGAAATGAACGAACTCCGAACAGCATTGGCTGCTTTTGCCGCTGATAAAACCATTACTGGTTACCAACAAGTGGCTGCTTTCCACGGATCTACTAAATGGTGCCCTAGTCCTGACGCTGCTGTCAAATATGCCTGCTGTCAACATGGTATGGCCACGTTCCCTCATTGGCATAGGTTACTCACTGTGAACTTCGAAAACGGATTGAGACGAAATGGTTATCATGGAGGTGTTCCTTACTGGGACTGGACTCGTCCTATTCATGCCCTTCCCGCGCTTGTGGTCGAAGAACAATACACAGATGCAAAAGGAGAGGCACATCCAAATCCGTTCTTCAGTGGTGCCATTGATGGGGTTAACGCTAAAACAAGTCGAGCACCATCACCAGCACTTTTTGAACAACCCGAATTCGGACATTATACTCACCTTGCTGATGAGATATTTTATGCGTTGGAACAAGAAAACTTCTGTGACTTTGAAGTCCAGTTCGAAATCGCACATAATCACATCCATGCTCTGGTCGGTGGAACAGAGCCCTACTCAATGTCATCCCTTGAGTATTCTGCCTTTGATCCGATTTTCATGCTACATCATTCGAATGTCGACAGGATCTGGGCTACATGGCAAGCACTGCAGAAATTCCGAGGAAAGTCCTACAATTCAGCCAACTGTGCTATTGAAATGCTCCGTCGGCCAATGTCGCCATTCAGTCTGTCAAGTGATATCAACTCTGACGCACAAACTCGTGAGCATTCTGTTCCTTTCGACGTGTTTGATTACAAGAAATCTTTCCACTACGAATACGACACATTAGAATTGAACGGTCTGTCTATCCCACAGTTGTCGAGAGAAATCAACAGACGAAAGGCGAAAAACCGAGTGTTTGTCACTTTTATGCTTGAGGGTCTTAAGAAATCTCTTCTCGTTCAGTATTATATTAAAGACGATGCAAGTGATAAAAAAATGAAAGCCGGCGAGTTCTACATTTTGGGAAGTGAAAACGAGATGCCCTGGAAATTCGATCGATCTTATAAAGTAGATATCACCCAAGAGATGGACGTATTGAATCTTCATTATGCCGGCAGTTACAGCATTGAATACACAATGACAGATATGAAAGGAAACAAAATAGACGACGTAGAATTGGAACCTACCGTGATATTTGAGCCTGGTAGAGGTAGGTATAATAATAATAATAATAATAATAAATAATAATAATAATAATAATAATAATGATGAGAAATATCCGTGAAAATTTAACGGTTTTAATTATCTAATGAATCATAATTCTTAAGTTAATGATTGAATAAGCTTAGGTTTAAAGTGAGTTTACCTGTAATACCGTGGAAAAATTGTTCAAGCCGACCACTCAATACTTACCCTTTTGTGGACGCTGGGTAATGATTCCAGGCCCTTCCCGAAAGAGAGGTACTGCCTGAGTGGAGGATTGAGGTAATATTTCTCACTACCCCAGAGAGCACTGGGGCGTATTAAATGCAGTAGTTTATTTGTTGAGACAGTAAAGTCAAGCCAAATTGAACCATGTTTTTCATCTATAATTCTTTTGAGCAGTGAAAATGTTTCACGATTTAGACTAATACCTGATATTTTTTAAATTTTTACGCCTTCAGGACATAGACAATCATGACTTGACATGGATTCTTTTTCTTTATTATTCGTAATAATAATCATTTTTTAATTGATATATTCAGATTATCCTTTGGTGAATGAAACACAAAGTATTCGGTCGTTTTTTAAACAATTAAAAATACCGCTATTGCATTGCCACAGTATAGCGCCTCTATTGCTTTATTTCCCTTTGTCCGGCCCCTTTTTAATTTAGCTACATTTTAGATTAGTCACCGTTTCGACCACTTCCTGAATAACCCTTAGCAATTACTGGAGTCATGGTGAAATAATGGATAGCACCTCGGATTGAGGAACTGAAGACCTGTGTTCGAATTCCATTTGAAAGGCATGGATTCATCTCTTCCCCTTCCAGCTATAGATAAAATAGTAGGACAGATTGGGCGCTATATTCTTGGTTGGCAACCAGTCTAGGAGAAGAAATACTCTGAATTCAAACTAGTTTGGAGAGGGTTAGGCAGCGTCAGACTGTTTTTCTCATGAAATTGAGGAATTGGCGAGCAGAGTTCGAATTTCAGTCGAGTTCATTACATTCAATTGGGAAAAGTATGAACCCATCTATTTCCCTCCCATCCCAACTATGGATAAAATATTAAGACAGATTGGACCCTATAGCCTTGGTTGGCAACCAGTCTATGTGAATGAAAATTCTGAATTCAAACGAGCCTGAAGAGGGTTGGGCTCCGTCAGGCTCTCTTGCCCATGAAACACCACTGCTGATATGGCTGCAGTAGATATGGTGCTCCTACGACCCTAAAGGGTCACAGGATTCGTGATTGTGATTATGAATGAACATTGCTATTTCCATGGAAAATGTTTCAATGAGTTCAACGTTTCAGAGACAAAGCTGAAAAATCCTTCCAAAGTGACAAGCGTATGCCCGGTTTTGAAGAAAGCAAGCGTGCGATCTTCTTCCTCCCAGTAAAGACCTAACAGTCTCCTCGGTAACATCAGTAAGCTTTTTGAGGCTAAAATTAATAAGAAGGTTGAAGAGCACCTAGAAAAGAACAAACTCTTCAACGACAAACAGTATGGGTTTCGGTCGACCCGATCCACTGCTGATGTCATAACTACCATCACTCACGGAATCAGTGAGGCTATTGACGACAAACACACCTCGAGGGCCATAGCACTGGATATCTCGAAAATCTTCAACAAGATGTAGCACAAAGGCTTACTACACAAGCTCTCCGAGAGGATAGTACGGGGTCTTGGATGAATTTTTACTGAGAGATAATCCACTAAATGAGACTGTAAAGCATGCATATTAAAAAAATAGGTTCAGACAAATTGCATTCTTTAATTGCACCAGTTCTAACCTTTTCAGCTAAGATACGCCATGCTATGTTTTCAGGATTGAATTATGTTTATTTCCTTTCGTATTGATAAGAAGGAAATTCCATTCATTCAGCTTCTTCCCAGAACTGTTACGTTGTTGAACAAATTTCCGAAAGGATGCTTCGCTGATCACTACAATCTTAACAGTTTCAAGTCAAGCGGCAACCGTTATCTATCCTACATATCCTCATAATATACACTTCTTACGAGGCATATTTTTTCTGCAGTAGGTTGCCATTTCTGCGGTAGAACAGTTGCCATCCAAGTCTATAGAAACCGGTCTTTATCCATAGCTGGTGGGAGAAGAAGAGGATTCATATCTTTCCCAATATTAGCACGTAAGTAAATGTAATGGATTTGACTGGAATTCGAACTCGGCTCACTGATTCCTCTGTCCGAGACGCTATCCATTACTCCACCGTATTTCCACCACTGGAAGTAATGTTTATAGTAATAAAGAATTTCGGATAATAAATTCTTTCAAAGAATTACCGTTGTTTACCTTTTGGTTACGAAACTGAAGCTAGCAGATATAGATTCACAGAAGTCTCAATGGGAAAAAACATCTCTTCTTTAACAAGTAATTCTGATATTAACAAAGCAAAATAAATATTTCACGGATGACTTTATTTCACGGATGACTTTATTTCACGGATGATTTTACTCCCTCATTGTACGCGCATACAACAACTTCCTTCAATAAAAGTCTGCTTTGAGTGGCTCTTGAAGCTTATATTGGATGTAAAAATGGTATAAAAAAGTTATATAAGTAATATATAAAGTGAAGTAAATAATACTGAAATCTTTTATAGTAAATTTTGAAAATTTAGCAAATCTTTGTTTTCATCCGTGAAATATTTATTTTACTTTGTTAATGTCAGAATTACTTGTTAAAGAAGACATTTTTTCCATTGAGACTTCTGTGAATCTCCTAGCTTCAGTTTCGTACCCAAAAGGTAAACAACGGTAATTCTTTGAAAGAATTTATTATCCGAAATTCTTTATTACTATAAACATTACTTCCAGTGGAAGCTACGGTGGAGTAATGGATAGCGTCTCAGACTGAGGAACCAGTAAGCTGAGTTCGAATTTCAGTCAAATCCGTTACATTTACTTACGTGCTAATATTAGGAAAGATATGAGTCTTCCTCTTTTCCCACCAGCTATGGATAAAGACCGGTTTCTAAAGATTTGGATGGCAACTGGTTTACCGCAGAAATGGCAATCTACTGTAGGAAAAAATATGCCTCGTCAGTCATGTATAGAAAGATACATGATCACGCATGGCACATAGCTGACTATTTCCAGTGGGTACACGTGTTTGCGTTTGTTCTTTTTTTTTTCTTTTTTTTTTTTGGTTTTATTAAAATTTGAAATTAATAACAACCGGCCTAAATTGAGAAGTTCTACTAAAAAAAAAAAGTTCACCTCCGACAAAAACTGACTTTGTCTTGTCAGTCTGTCTCCGTGGCTGAGCTGGTAGAAGCACGCTTCGGCTTAAGAAGAGTTTCCCCCTTGGGTAAAAAAGGGAAGCAGGTTCGGTTCCTGTCGGAGACAGAATTTTTCTTTAATAGAACTTCTCAATTTAGGCCGGTTTTTATTAATCTCAAACTTTAATAGCATTTATAGTAATAACAAATAATGTCGGATAAAAAGAATCCTACCTCAAAATTACTGTTATTTACGTTTAGGCTACGAATATAAAATTGTAGAACTATCAAGAAGAAAAACACGCCGGCTTTGTTAATAAATAAGTTATAAAATTAGTTACTCAATTTGTTCTTTTTTAATAAATAGCTTTGTTTATTTAAAGCAAACATTGCATCGTTAAAAAAAAATCAACGACAATTTTATTACAATTCTATCGTCTGCTACTTCGTGGAACATACTCGAGAGAACATGTTTCTCCGATTAATACAACTTTAACCTCTTCAAGTCTACGATCAACCATTATCTATCCTACATATCCTCATAATCTACACTTACTCCTCTTTTGACCTCATTCATTAATCTACCTTGAGACGCTCTTGCTTGGACATTTAGTAAATTCATTTTTTTTATTTCAGTCTTGTACGAAGAAGGCGGTTCCTGGATTGAAGCTGCTACCAGTGCCAATAGAATCAGAAAAAATTTGAACGCTTTAAACAAGGGCGAAATTAATTCACTCCGTGGTGCCCTCAAACGCATGAAAAAAGACGGCAGATTTGAAAGAATTTCTTCATTTCACGGACTTCCAGCTCAATGTCCGGATAGGTATGGCATCATGATTTACACATGTTGTCTACATGGTATGCCTACATTTCCGCACTGGCATCGTCTCTACGTAGCCCTCTTCGAAGACGAATTGCTGGCTTGCGGTTCTGGAGTTGCCGTTCCCTATTGGGACTGGGTGGAACCATTCGATACTTTGCCAAAACTTTTCAACGAAGCTTCTTACTATAATTCCAGAACACTTCATATTGAGGAAAATCCTTTCTTCAAAGGAAAAATTAGCTTTGAAAATGCCGAAACAGACCGTGACCCACGACCAGAACTCTTTAATAACAAGTACCTCTATGATCACGCGCTCTTTGCGTTTGAACAAACAGAGTTCTGCGAGTTTGAAGTGCACTTCGAGGTTCTTCATAACACAATCCATTCTTGGTTAGGAGGCCGCGATCCCCATTCCATGTCTTCTCTTGACTATGCTGCCTACGACCCTGTTTTCTTCCTTCACCATAGCAACGTGGATCGCTTGTGGGCTATTTGGCAAGAGCTTCAACGTTACCGTAAATTGCCATTCAACGAAGCCAACTGCGCTTTGCCACTGATGAACCAACCGATGCGTCCATTCAGCAATAGTACGGCCAACCATGATCGTTTGACCTTTACCAACAGCAGACCAAGCGATGTCTTTGACTACCAAAACGTCTTGCATTATAAATACGACACTCTATCCTTCAATGGTCTCAATATAATGCAACTTGCAATTGCTTTGGAGAAGAGGAAAGCTGAAGATCGTATACTTGTCGGATTTTTGTTACAAGGCGTGAAGGCCTCAGCGGACGTCCGAATTTATATATGCGTTCCTATTAGTCAAACGGAAGAGAACTGCAATAATTACGCAGGCGTTTTTTCAATTTTGGGCGGAGAATCAGAGATGCCGTGGAAGTTTGATCGCCTTTTCCGTTACGAAATCACCGGTGAGTTACAGCATTTGGGGCTCAACCAGATCAGTCAATTCCGCGTCAAAACCGAAGTCATCGCTGTCAATGGCTCCAGTATATCCAGACCGATTTTTCCTAAACCAACCATCATCTACATTCCCAAACAAAGTAAGTTAACAAGATTTGCATTTCATTGCATTTATACGACACGAATCGCCTATTAATTCGCATTTATTTTTGTCCTTTTTTCTTTTTCTTTTTTTAAAAAAAAAAAAAAAAAAAGAACTGCGGTCTTATCAGCCTTTTTCTTTTTATCAATGTCAATTGGCATGTGTTATGACAAAGTCACTCCGGCAATCTTTAACTTTAACCGTGTGTCAAAAGGTCGGTTTTTCCTCTGACACCGCTATTATTTTAACTATCTTCACTCCCTTTGCAAGGTTTGTTGTTTTAAAATGCGATGATTAGAATTGTAATAAAACCTAAACATACGAAAGTGGATTTATACATTTTCTTTATTCTTATGAATTGACAACAAAAAGGTTAAACACTATTTATGTATTAGATTGTTTATTTACAACATTCTAAAAATGTGAACCGACTGATACAATGCAATGTTTATCATTTATCAATTTATAAATAAATAATCAGATAACTGTATATTTTGAAAAGAAAAATGCATTTTCCGGGCATATTTTCATGCTGCAATTCATTGATATTCTTATAAAATTATGATTGAAAAACTTAAATGTTAAATAATAAATATTGCATTGTAGATGGTTTACATATTTTGATAAATTTTTTTTAACTTTTTGAATAAAAAGATTTCATTTCATATTTATTTCTTTATAACATGGTAAATAATAAGTCTCTAGAAAAGGTAAATAATGAATATCGCATTTTCCTTGGTTCACATATTTTGTAAGCTTGCAAATAAACATCACCGAGGGAGTGAAGGTAGTACAAATTAATAGCGGTGTGAAGGAAAAACCTGTCACTTTGATCCAGTTCAATTTATTTGCTATTTTATTCTGTTTTATTCATATACTCACATTTGTAATTTTGTTAATTTTGGCCATCTGCAGAGCATTTATTTCGCGTTATATGATTAAGAGAGCTAAATTTAATAAATACAATAAATAAATATGCTTTTCTAAATAGAGATAAAGCGGGTAATAAAATGAAAATGAATTATTCTTATTATTACTTGTTTTTATAAACGTTTGTGGGTATAAAAACCAAGATGAACATGCAGGTCCGAATAGCAAAGCATATAATAATAATTTCTCATCAAATAAATTCCGATAAAAATGATCAAATCGGTACAGACCCGACATTACACACGTATGTTGAAACGTTGAGACTGTAACAATCTAGATGAACATGTTGGTTCAAATAGCAAAGCATATTAATGGAAATTCCACATTTCAAAAATTTCCTTAAAAATTAACTGAAATTCTGTTGGAATTAAGAGAAAGAGGCCATGTATGGTTATATTAACAATAATCACTTCCAAAAAAATAATGAAAGCTTATTATTATTATTATTTTTTTTTTTTACTTCTGTTTCAGGGCCGACAAAGAGGGTGCGAACGCATGAATCTCTCCATGGCAACTTAGTGCGTAAAAATGTCGAGCGCTTGTCGTTACAAGAGACAAATTCGTTAGTGCACGCTATGAAGCGAATGCATCTTGACAAATCCTCGGACGGTTTTGAAGCCATTGCTTCCTTCCATGCTCTTCCTCCACTGTGCCCTAACCCGTTGGCGAAAAAACTGCATGCTTGTTGCTTGCATGGTATGGCTACTTTTCCTCAGTGGCACAGGTTGCTCGTTGTTCAGTTTGAACAAGCCCTACACAGACACGGAGCCAAAATAGGTGTGCCATACTGGGACTGGACGCATCCTATATATGAGGTTCCGAGTTTTTTCGCTTCGGAACAATATATGGATCCTTTTACAGGCATTGTATCAGTCAACCCTTTTCATCATGGAAACATTTCTTTTATTAGTTCGGATACAATAACAAAACGGAATATAAGCGATTATCTTTTTGAGAGACCAATTCTTGGAAAGCAGACCTGGCTCTTTGACAACATCATTCTGGCCCTGGAACAGACAGATTATTGCGATTTCGAAATCCAATTCGAGATTGTTCATAATGCCATCCACACATGGCTAGGGGGTAGCGAACTGTATTCTATGAACAATTTACATTATGCCGCTTATGACCCTGCTTTCTATTTGCACCACGCCAATGTCGACCGTCTCTGGGTTATCTGGCAAGAACTACAGAAATATCGTGGCTTTCCAGTTTACGAGTCGAACTGTGCCCTCGAGTTGATGAACGAGCCACTGAAACCCTTCTCGTTTGGGCCTCCCTACAATCTGAATCCGATAACATACAAATACTCTAAACCGGCCGACGTGCTCAACTATAAAGAACACTTCCATTATGAATACGACATGTTAGAGATGAACGGAATGTCGATTCCTCAGTTGGAGTCTTACATTCAAAATCTGAAACAACACGACCGCATCTTCGCTGGTTTCTTGTTGGAGGGATTCGGTAGTTCAGCTTACGTAACATTTGCGGCAAGTATCAGGTTGAGTTGTGAATAATTTCCGTCTTTGTTTTTTAAATTTATTCTTTAAAATATAAAATACATTTACATTTTATTCAATTATGTATTCACCATTATTTGCAATGATTTGTTGCTACTTATCAGGCAGCTCTTCGATATCTTTTAAGTAAAACCACGCAGGTTTTGATGTGAAAATGTAGAAATGTTATCAACAAAAGTATTATTAATTGACTGAAAGCTGCTGAAACTACTCGATTATGATGTTTTAATCAGTCAGTTAAGTACCATACGGGATATACGCTTGAGCGATCAACGAAGCAAAAGATTTTTATCGCAGTAGGTCGCCATTTGTTTCTGCAGTAGATTGTTTGATAAAGAACCAAGTCAATCTATTTAACCTATAAGAAATGGATTCATACCTTTCCCAGGGGTATTTGTGCGTAAGTGAATATAACGAACTCGAATGGAAGTCGAACTCGGCTCTCTGAGTTCTCAGTCCGAGCCGATATCCATTACACCACAACGCAAGAAAAACCTGACCATCAGCCACCGTCAGGATCATTGAAAATTACCATATGTAGAATATTCCAACGTTACAAATTGCTACAAAAACTAAATATTAACCAGAAGACTCGAGTAATGTTCTTAAATAACCTCGTTAGATCTAGTCTCTCACATGGATGTTATGCATGGTATCCAACTCGGAAATTTATAAACTATCAGTTATATACTACCGTTTTCTCAGGTCAATGATTCAAAATGGCTTCAAGCGGAGAAATCCTTTCGGTCTTAAATAAAATAACCCTTCTTTATAAGTATAGTGTTACAGAATCACAAAGAACTGTACCAAATAACAAAAACCTTGTAACTTGAAAACGTCCAACAGTAACAATAACTAGACTAGATAGCACATAATAATAATAATAATAATAATAATAATAATAATAATAATAATAATGACATAATGAAGATGTTGACTTTCCACACTACTTCAAACAAAAGGTTAGGAAGCAAAAGTCCCATCAATAGTAGAAAGAGTGAAAAGAGTTGGATACTTTTTCCTGCAAAAAACTGTTTTAGGAGAAAGACTTTATCATTTTCAGCTGACATTAGATTGGGGTAGATTGTTCTTTGAACTCACACTCTTTGGGTCCTGTCACTGGATCAATACCCAGTTAAGGCAGTGGAGAACTTGGAGAGAGGAATTAACATGAGATAACTGATAACTGACATCCATTAAAAACATGGCACGTGGAACTAGAACAGTCTACCCCAGTGAGCGAAATAAAGGGTTCAGTTCGACATTCCAACCACCTGAAGAAGGCCGGAGCGTACAAAAACCGAAACGTTGTGATAAATATGGCGACAAAGATGAAGACAATAGTCCGAATAATGTAAATAGCTAATGTAAATACCTCATCTCAGAAACATAGACAGATAATATAGGACTTCAAAGATATCCTCAGACAGTTCAAACAATAGATATATTCTTCCGTATCTTCAATTGGAACACAAATAATCATTAGATATTAAAAAAAATTTAGAGGCATTTTGACGTGGCTTGTCTCACTAGATCAATTATAACTGAGTATTGAGTTCAATACTCACTAGGTGCTCCATACTTTCGGCATTGTGTCGCATTTAAGCTACGCTTAGTTAATCGATGTAGCACTTCGTGGTGTAATGGTTAGCGAGTGTTATATACTGTACCTATGAACACTAATGGGTATGTTCGAATCCTCATAAATACATTGGACACTATTGTAAGTAGTGGTAATATACTGTCTAAGTAGTACACGACTAGAAGTGGTTTACCTACTTCACGTCGCTGGAGAGTATTGTATTTTGTTGATATTATAAAGATTACTATTCCATTTCCAAACTCCGTTTTGGTTATTCCTCATTCAGTAACCTCTTTTGGGTTACAACAGCGAGCTTGTCTTGATAGATCATTTACGACTGAGCAGTGAGTTCGATACTCAGTAGATGCTCCATACTTTTGGCCTTGTGCCACATTTAAGTTGCTATAATATAAGTGGAGAAATTTTGTGGAAATTTACACTTATTTTTTCAGGATGAGTTTTGATTATCCCCAAATAATCTCTTATTTATTTTCTTTTTCATAGATTTGTAATTACTATGACCAGTGTGGTATGGGAAGTCATTTTTTTATCCTGGGTGGAAGTGATGAAATGCCGTGGGCCTTTAATCGTCTTTATCTCATGGAAATCACCGATATTCTCCGGCGTATGAATATCAACTACAATTCTCCTTTTGCCGTCAGATTGTGGGCAATTTCCCCCAATGGAACCATTTTCCCGGAAGGAACGCTTTCCGAACCGACTATTATACGCGTTCCTGCAGAGCGTGAGTATCTACATTTCTTGAGAACTTTTGGTGCCAAAACTTTTGGTGCCAAAACTTTTGGTGCCAAAACTTTTGGTGGTAATTTCACAGCATAAAAGAAATAGATACTTTATTATAAATTCTTGTACTGTTGGAACGGAACAGAATTTTCAAACTTCTTTTTTTATAGAAAATTTCAAATACAATATTTAGATATTTCACGATCACGAGTCCCGTAACTCCTTAGGGTCGAATGGACACCCCACATATACTGCAGGCACAGCAGCATTGGGGGGTCTTGGGTAAGATAACCTTACACAGTCCAACCCTCCCCAGATGAGTTTGAATTCAGAATTATCCTTCTCTTAGACTCGTTGCCAACCAAGGCTATAGGGCCCAGTCTACCCTAGTATTTACCCATACCTGATATAGAAGATGAGAAGAGATGGATTCATATCCTTCCCAAGTTTATTTGCACGTAAGTAAATGTAACGAACTGAATTCGGCTCTCCGAATTCTCATTTCGATCTGATATCCATTACACCACCGCGCATCCACATTTAAATATTGGTATATACGTTTATTCAGTCGCATATATGTCATTTTGTTACACTACCTTTCGCCACCTTTGAGGCAACTTCATGATTCATCCTCTTAGAATATGGCATTTTTCTGTGTAAGTAGTTTTCATTGGTTTACAGAGAATGGGAACTTCTCATTAAGAGAATTTTGTAGGGATCGAAATAAGTGCTAATCCGAAGATGCAAACTCAGGTGAGTAAGGGTAGCAAGGTATCCCAGTCCAACTCTACCAATATCTGCAAATAGATGTGAGATCTGGCGTTGTCCTGGTGGAAGACGACGCTCTTCCGATTGGCTAAATCCGGACGCTTTTCACCGATTGCTGCCTTTAATCCGTTCACGTACGACTGGTTTGTTTGCTTCAAGGATGTTGTCTTTTTGGTTGTTGAAATCGCCTTCTCTGGTTTTTGTTGGTACCATTTCTGTTCGATTTCTGGTCCATACTTCCTACATAGGCATCAATGCCGATGGGAAGCCACTTTATAATGGCGGCGGTTGTATTCTTTCTGCGCAAGCATTCCACGAACGCTTATCACGTGGGTAACATTTTCCACCTCCAGGCCACACAGTCTGCACTTGTCAGAGTCCACTTGTTTGGAGATGCTCTTCCGATCACCATGAACAGCAACTTCGATGAGGAGGCCTTTTCATTTGTTTATATTTTGTCTTTTTTTTTTTCAACGACGGTGATATCTGGTTAGATGGCCTCAAGGATGCGGTATGTTAGAATCCCATAAAATTTTGTCTTGACTGTCTTCGATTACCTTTGTGGTTTGCGGTGGTACAGTTTCTGTTCTACTTCAAATTCATTCTTCCTACATAGGCATCAATGCAGTTGGGAGACCATTTTATCCTGACGGCGCTTCTATTCTGCGCAAGCATTATTATTATTATTAGTTCGGTAATAGATAGGTTCGCCTATCGTCTGGTTAACACTCTTCCTCCGTTTTTTGAACAGCCGTAGAGGTATATCCATTGTTTCCTGTTTAGGATTGGGTTTCCGGTTCCTTCTAAAATCTTTTCCTTCTCTTTCACTTCCAGTAGCCCCTTGCGTCTTAGTGGCATTATCGGTTTGCTTGAGGTGAACTGATTAACCCCCACCCCCCCAAAAAAAAAACCAGAAAGCCTGTTGCTTCAATGGCGACAAGATAATGAAATGGCGAGATAATTTTCGGACAGACTTTGTATAAAAATGAAAAAGGAAGTTACTTGCAGATAAATAACTCAGTTTTAATTTGTCTTTATTTACGCAGATGAAAATCTCGGTGTGGCGATTCCTCTGAACCGAATCCGACGGAACCTTCATTCCTTGGAGGAAAGAGATGTCCAAAATCTAATGTCGGCTCTGACGCGGCTAAAGAAAGACGAATCAAATTCTGGCTTCCAAACAATTGCTAGTTACCACGGTACGCCGATGTGCCCCGATCAAGAGAATCCTAAATATGCCTGCTGTCTCCACGGAATGCCGACGTTTCCACACTGGCATCGGCTTTACATGTTACATTTCGAAGAAGCAATACGTCGCCATGGAGCCAATGTGGCCATTCCTTATTGGGATTGGACTTTGCCGATATCCAAGTTACCGGCTTTGTTTACAGATGCCGATTATTATGATGCTCTGAGGGTAGCTGTCATTGAAAATCCTTTCTTGCGAGGTTATATCAAGGACGAAGACACTTTTACTGTCCGCGATGTGCAACCAGAATTGTACCATAACAAAGATGACGAGAAGTCTTGCCTCTATAAACAAGTGATGCTAATGTTTGAGCAAGAGGACTATTGCGACTTCGAAGTCCAACTCGAAGTGATCCATAACACTATACATTACTTGATTGGAGGTCACCAAAAGTATGCTATGTCGAGCCTTACTTACAGCTCGTTCGATCCGATTTTTTACATACATCATTCCATGGTAAGTCAAACATCAAATCCTTTTTATTATCAATTTTGCAGAAAGTACATTGAAATACCTATATACAGTAACAAATTCAATGAAATGTAAACTTATCAGTCCCTATTATGAGTTGCGTGGTGATAACATCCACACACTCTCCCAGATATGATCTCCCAGAAATACCCTGATCGACTGATTTTCTTTCTTTTATCATTTTTTTTTGTTAAAAGCAATCTGTTATTGTTATGTCTGGATATATAAATACGAACACACTTCGACACACACACATACATAACTTTATATATATATATATATATAAATAAAGGTATGTATGTTTACATACGCTCTAACACTGATATTGAGCACTTTCACCCATAAATATAACATACCGTAAAAACTATATTTTTATCATATATATATATATATATATAATATATATATATATATATATATATATATATATATATATATATATATATATATATATATATATATATATATATATATATATATATATATATATATATATATATATATATATATATATATATATATATATATATATATATCATATATATATATATCATATATATATATATATATATATATCATATATATATATATATATATATATATATACATATATATATATAGAAAAGTTTCAAATTAAAAAAATAATAATGTTTTATTTTATGAAAATATTTATTTATTTATATATATATTTAATATTTCAAATTGTCCTCAATTTTACATCAGAAGTAACTGTTAGTTACAAATAAATTAAAATAGAGTTTTTGCGGTATGCTATATTTATGGGTGAAAGTGATAAATATAGCATACCGTAAAACTATATTTTATCATATATATATATATATACATATATATATATATATATATATATATATATATATATATATATATATATATATATATATGATACATATATATATATATATATTTGTATAATTAGGCAGCAATCCTTCCTTTATGCATGTAGTACCTTGTCTGTCGTTTTTAACGAAACATATATATATATATATATATATATATATATATATATATATATATATATATATATATATATATATATATATATATATATATATATATATATATATATATATATATATATATATATATATATATATATATATATATATATTTTATCATATGTATATATATATATATATATATATAAATACTGTTGGAAACTTGACTAATGCATGGAATAATAATGCAAACACAAAATGTACTTAGAACAAAATGTATTGAAACTAGAAAGTGTACACAATATTTACATATAGTCTTTTGTATATTCCTGGTAAGACCGTTCCTGGAGAATGTGTTGACTGAGTCGCAGTCAGGGCAGAGTCTCTGGATTGAATCTTTGATCCTCCCTCGTCTTCCAGGTACCAACCATATTTATATGGTCGGTACTCCACTATGCAAATTAGGTGGATCCTACCACAATAGATACATATATATATATATGATATATATATTTTTTTTATCATATATATATATATATATATATATATATATATATATATATATATATATATATATATATATATATATATATATATAAAAAATATAGTTATACGGTATGCTATATTTATGGGTGAAAGTGCTCAGTATCAGTGTTAGAGCGTATGTAAATATAAAATTGGCTACTGATATCAACACCGAATGGCAACAGTCTGTTTCATGTTTAAACGCAGTCTTTATCTATACTCATCTCTAACATTGATCATATATCACATTGATATATATATATATAGGGACTGTGTATGCATATAGAGAGCGGAAGAGAAATATAATAGTTCGAACAAAAGAAAATTTAAATAAAGATATCTTAAACAAAAAACATTCAACCAAACATATATATATACATAGTGCGATAGACAGCCATGACTGGGTTCTTCTTTTTTTGTGTCATGGTGCAGAGTTCTGTTGCCACACATAGGGTCTTCCAGCAGCGGCCTCTTGACCCCTACCTCCTTAAGGTACTTTATGTAAGCCACCCTGTTGAGTCTGGTGCTTTCACCAACAAATTCCGTAGTTTTTTTCAAGCTGCCGTAGCTTTGTAATCACTATTAGACTCATCCAATTCTTCCCGAATTCTCTACTCTGTCCTCATATTGACACCCCAAACATTCTGATATATATATATATATATATATATATATATATATATATATATATATATATATATAAAACATAATTAGAAGAAATGGTCCACGTGAGCTTCTTATAGTATGTAAAATAGATAGGTTAATAAAACAAGAACAAAAGAAAGGGCACCAATATAATCAGTACGAAAAACATTTATTAAATATTAATTATTAACCATATCACAGAAATGAAGCACGGAAAGAATGCTTTTAAGTAAGGAATTTTCGGACACGCCTGTGTCCTTCATCAACAGAGCGAGAAATAAACAGAAATGGGAATTACTCACCGACAGATGTTTTTGTGAACGGTGTATTTTCTGGTGGAGATCATACTATTAGTAAAAATCCGATCTCTGCGTGATTCATAACCGTGCGAAACTTATGAAAATAAACTTAAATTTAAAATTTTGATCGGTGTAAAAGCGTTAGGCCAGTCTATTCTTATTAGCAGGGGGAGTGGGGAAGTAAGATTGTAAACATAGATGAAGAGAGTGTAGTAGAAAATTGTTCGACCAAGTTGTCAGTTTCAGCACTACGTTCAGTAGTTAGAATAACTTGTCAAGTTCAGAGAGACGGGCTATAGTTAGGATTATTTAATAATTTAATTTAAAAAATTGAAAAAAATATTGTAAAAATTTTGAAATACCGTTTGAAACTAGAAAACATCGATGTCGAGATAAAACTGATATTTAAAAAGTTAAGTAATCTTTTCATATATATATATATATATATATATATATATATATATATATATATATATATATAGTGAACATAGAAGTTAACACTTAGAGGCGACAGTCTGTTTCATGTTATATGCAATCGTCAGGCCACGAGCGCTCGTGGCCTGACGATTGCATCTAGCATGAAACAGACTGTCACCTATGTTGACTTATGTTCACTTTTATATTTACACACGCTCTATCTCTGATAAATTAGCACTTTATCCCATAAATATAGCACATCTTAAGAATATATATTTGTTCATATATATATATATATATATATATATATATATAGAAGATTGAGTCAGAAATAATAATTTTAGTTTTTGTTTATCAATTTTATTCTTGGGAAGATGAAGTACAATTATTCAGTTATATATTCACCATCATTTGCAATGATTTGTTGCCCTTTATCAAGCCACTACTCAATAACTTTTGAATAAAATTCCCCTGTTTTTTATGCGGAAACTTTTTCGACGAACTCTTGAGTTTGGCTTTAATTGGAGAATGTCTTCCCCATCAAATCGTTTTGGTGCAACGTCAGGTAAATATAGCTGGTGGGGTAGAACAGACCCCAACTATGTTCCAAATTTTTTCTTGTCTTATTCTTGATATATGCGGCTTTGCGTTATCATGGAGGAGAAGAGTATTGTTCTTTAATCCGCTGTGTATATTGCCGTGCGTGAGCCGAGTTCGAATTCCAATCGAATCCATTACATTCACTTACGTGCTAATACCCTTGGGAAAAGTATGAATCCTCTTCTCCACACGCCAAGCTATGGGTAAATAGCAGGACAAACCGGGTTTTATAGCCTTGGATGGCAACTGGTCCCCCGCAGAAAGAAATGGCAACCTACTGCGGGAAAAATCTGCCTCGTCAGTTATGTATCGAAAGATACATGATCGCCAAAGCGTGTATCACGCATGACACATAACTGATACTGCCGTACAAAAAAGTAAAGTATGTTAGTGTACTCCAAATTCTCTCAGATGATTAAAAGGGAGCAGTTTCGTTTTTTAGGCGTTAAACTTAACAAGCTACTCCTTTCCACATTTAACAACAAACTGTGGGTCATTTTTGAGATCATCTGCTAATTTGAACCGATCGGACTTACTATTAAGACTGGAGTAAATAGTTGTGTCATCACAACTGATGACATTAGGAAGGTCATTTAAATAAAGTCCTCTTTTAGCAATGCAGAAGCCTTCTTTAATAGCTAATTTGCATGGCGGATCCATCCTGTTAATAACAGAAAAAAACAATTAAAATTTTATTTTTGTTTATACTATTGACATATAAGATTTTAAAACTGTTTTGTTTATTTCTTAAAAGATGGTATAATCAACGTTTTTTTGTTTTTTTTCTAAAAAATCCTGTTCTTCTGTTTGATTTAGGTTGATCGTCTTTGGGCCATCTGGCAAGAATTACAATATTTAAGGAAATTGCCCTACAATAAAGCCCACTGTGCTTTGGACCAGATGTCCATTGCAATGAAACCTTTCAGCTGGGGATCAAACCCGAACATTTTCACTCGAGTGGCATCCTTTCCGAGTAGCTTGTTCGACTATCGGGGTCTCGGTTACAGCTATGATAATCTCGACTTTCATGGTATGAGTCCTACCCAACTGGAAGAAGCTATCCAAGATCAGAAAAGACAAGATCGAATATTTGCTGGGTTTCTGCTACACGGCATTAAGATTTCCGCTGACGTTCAGTTAAAGGTTTGCAACGACACCGATTGTGCAGCAGCTGGAGTTTTGTTTGTTCTCGGGAGTCCCACGGAAATGCCTTGGCACTTTGATCGTAATTATAAAATGGATATTACTGACGTGTTCAAAAAAATGAGAATCCCGTTCGAAGACCTCTTTAAGCAAAACAGCAGGATCCATCTTGAAGTTGAAATCAAATCAGTGGAAGGAAAGAAACTAGACGCTAAAACTATTCCCAAACCTTCTCTCATATATTCACCTGAAAAAAGTAAGTGCGATATTTTGTTGATATTTTTGTATTGGATTCAATATGTCTTACGAGTCTTAAAGTTTCTAGGCCCTCTTTCCTCATTATGTGTGTCATAAATTTCAACTATCCTCTTCTGATTGTAAGTATCAATTTCCTTGTTCCTATTTTCCTTAAGGTTTTCTTTGTTGCTCAGATTTTCTGTTCATAATATCCATAACGTTCGTCGGCAGAAACACTTCAAGTCTCTTCTTCGGTGAGGAAATTGTCCCATATTCACTACCATAAGGGGAGTAGATATTTACATTGCAATCAAGTTTCTAATGTTTGTTTCTAAGGACATTTTGACCCGTTCACAACCAGATGTCAATTTCGAAATCTGACTTCAAGAGGTCAGTTTTGAAATCTGACTTAAAGAGGTCAATTACGAAATCAGACTTCAAGAGGTCAATTATGAAATCAGACTTCAAGAGGTCAATTATGAAATCCGATTTCAAGTGGTCAGTTACGAAATTTGACTTCTATAGATCAATTACGAAATTTAACTTGTAGAGGTCAATTATTAAATCTGTCTTCAAGAAATCAAACGACAAATTTATACTAGGTAACTTAGGCAATGAAACATTTTTGCTTGATTTTTAGCTTCAGCTGAAGTTTTAACATTGTTTTCGCGCTAAAAGTAACCCCGCTAATAAACTCATTGTTGTCGTCCGCCGATGAAAATCTACCAGAAAATACCAAGCACGAGATATAACTCGTAGTCATCGTCATAATAAAAAAAAATGCCAATCTCGAGATATCTCGTGGTTGGCAGTTAATGTGTTAGTATCGCCATAGTTTGCTTAGTTTTTTTTAAGTCATCTTTCGCTGATTTTGTTCGCTTTCTGATTTCTGGGTCACGTTTTACGTCATCTGTTACTATATTATCCGGGCATCAATTTTTGTATCTGTTTGATTTTGACGTCCCCATTACGTAGCTCACACCATGGGTTGTCTCTTTTGTTGACGACTGTGGAATTCAGGTGGCTATAATCTTTAACGGTTATTTAGTAACAAATATATTCAGCATTTCTCATTATGCTTCTTTTATAAATTCGCGTAAGGCTACATTTTGTCTGTGTGTCCCTACCATACCCCAGTAGAACATAACAGCCGTATAATTAGCACACAAACAGTCATGGCGATTTCACCCTTATATACAGTGATTTAAGCGTAGTTTAAACGCGGCACAAGGACACAAGTATGAGGCAGGCTGTGAGGATCGAACTCATTGCTGCTAATTGACCTCGCGAGACATATATTCCGAAAAATTGCGTTTGCAACATAAGCACAAGTATTTAAGCTGAATAAACATTTTTAAAAGCATAATTTTCATAAATTTACTCATTTGTGCTATTTATTTTCAATTCATTTTTTTAAATTGCCATATATAAGCAAATTGTTTGATGATAGTTTTTTTTTAAATTCGTCGTGTTTGTTTAGAAATAATTTGAAAATTAGGGATTAAAAGTGTTATAGGACTTTTATAAAAAAAATAGCTCGTATGTTCGTAGAAAATATCAGTGGGTTTTATTTACTTTTAAAGAAAACAGAAACTAAATGTAATCTTTTCTTTTGAAAATTTCTTTTTTTAAAGAAGCGCATATAAAATAAATAATTTTAAAATACCATACGATAATTTTAGGTCTGTCAATGTTAGTTATGATCTTATTTCTTGGAGCGTTCACTGTTGTTTTCTGCCATTTTAAATTACTACAAGTTAGTCGATTGAAGCCGAAATAAGTCAAGATAATCTGTTTAATTAAATTACCTTAAAATTATACCGAATTATTTAAGTAACTGAGAAATAGTAAGTTTTTTTTAAAATTCTTGTTCTTGTTCTTCCGTGTGCTGTATCCCATCAGAACGTTGTCGATCGTGGCTCTCCACAATTTCCTGTCCTTTGTCGCGCCTCATAAATGTTGTCTTTTTGTATATGCTAACTAGACATAGCTACATTGATGAAGAGAGAAGCATTGATTATATTTTCTAATGCTTGCATTAATAATAATACAAACTTTTCCTGAATTAATCCTATTACAGTAATGTTTGCCTTTCTTTTTCTTAGTTCGCACGACCATTATATCCCGTCAATACTTCACAAATAATGGACTATTCTGTTTTGATCGCGTGGAAAGAGGTGGAAAGACGCTATTGCTTTTAGTGTGAAAAATGAAAGAAAGAAGGGGAGATAAAATTGTTTAACGTCTGTTTCAGTGAAACGGAAAAAACTGTCAATTTCAAACCTTTTCATTTTTACCCTTTTCTTAAAAATTCATATTTGTAATTGTTATTCTAATATTTTGTTAAAGCTGGTAAGCTCAAATATTTAACGATGCTATAGGGGAATTTCTACGTATATTTTATTGCCATAGAACTCGGCATAAGCTTATTCAATCATTAACGGAAGAATTAAGGTTCATCAGAAAAGTTAAATAGGAAAACCGTGAAATTTTCATGACTTAAAACTAGTTAATATTATTATTAATAAAAGCATTATAAAATATATCCAATATTCCTCTCATCATCAGACCTATGTAGCTATGTGTAGAGTAGGAAATTCAAGTGGACTTAGCATGATGATAAAAAGAACTTTAGAAAAGAAATATCTGACTGAAAATGTTTATACAGAAATCTTATAACGATAAGTGAAATTCTATTTCGACTAGTCTGTGTCTATAGGACATGTATTTAGTGGATGCATTAAAAATACTCAAATGCAAATCTTTTTTCTTGTAGGTTTTGTAAAAAGTGAAGATAAAGTTTCTGTTCGAGGAACAATGATTAGAAAGAATGTGAATAGCCTGAGACCTTCGGAGATTCAAAACTTAATGGAGACTTTGGCTGCTGTACAAGCAGATCATACCGAAAATGGCTACCAGAAGATCGCTGCTTACCACGGAATGCCACTGAGTTGCCGTTACGCCAATGGAACAGCCTACGCCTGCTGCCAACACGGAATGGTTACCTTCCCTCACTGGCATAGATTATTTGTCAAACAAATGGAAGACGCCATGAAAGCTAAAGGCGCGAAAATTGGTATTCCCTATTGGGACTGGACAACAGCCTTTACCAGTTTACCAACGTTGGTCACTAGAACTGAAAACAACCCATTCCACCACGCCCATATCGATGTTGCCAATACTGACACAACCCGGGCACCACGACCTCAGCTGTTTGATGACCCAGAACAAGGTGATCAGTCATTCTTCTACCGTCAAATAGCATTTGCTCTCGAGCAGACTGACTTCTGTGATTTTGAAATTCAGTTTGAGATCGGACACAACGCCATCCATTCCTGGGTGGGAGGCAGCAGCCCATATGGCATGTCGACACTTCACTACACTTCTTATGATCCTCTCTTCTACTTACACCATTCCAACACGGATCGTATCTGGGCAATTTGGCAAGCCCTGCAGAAGTACCGAGGATTGCCCTACAATTCAGCCAACTGTGAGATCAACAAACTCAAGAAACCGTTGATGCCTTTCAGCTCTGAAAAGAACCATAATGTTGAAACAAAGGCACATTCGACTGGCTTCAAATCTTTTAACTATCACGAACTGCACTACGATTACGATAACCTTAACTTCCATGGAATGACAATTCCTCAGTTAGATGTGCATTTGAAGAAATACCAAGAGAAAGACAGAGTGTTTGCTGGATTCTTGTTGAGAACGATCGGCCAATCAGCTGATGTTAACTTTGATGTTTGCCGCAAAGATGGAGAGTGTACTTTCGGTGGCACGTTTTCTATCTTGGGAGGACAACACGAAATGTTTTGGGCATTTGACAGACTCTTCTTATATGACATCTCCAAGAGTTTATTGCATTTGCGTCTCAATGCTTATGATGACTTTGATGTCAAAGTTACCATTTGGGGCATCGATGGACAAGAACTGCCGTCCAATATCTTTTCGCCGCCAACCATCATGTTCAGACCAGGATCCGGTTAGTTATTATTTTATTATTATTTTATTATCATTTCAATGATTATTTTATTATTATGTTATTATTATTTTAATTATTATTTTATTATTATCTATTATTTATTTATGATCCAAGATATCTATAGATTTTGAAATTATTTAATAAATATTATCGGCTATATAAAAAGACACTAAAATATCATAATAATAGCATAAGAATGTGTTTTTGGTAAAAAAAAATGTCTTGTAATGTTAGAATGCGTGCATTTTAGTAAAGGCAATTGCAATGGCTTTTACTAAAAAGTTCATATTCTACATTTTAATATGTCATTTGTATGAAATTCTTATAACATTTTGATGCCATTCCAAATAAATTATTATTCTCCTTATTGCAAAAAGTCACTGCTTTAGTTGTGATGCATATGTCAAAGCTTATAAAATGTTAACTTAACTTCAATAGAGGATCGATTTGACTAACACCTAGTGTTATTTTCAAACCAGCAATATATGTTTTGTAGCTTTTTTTTTTATTAAAGTGTGTGTTTAATTTAATCATTTAATTTAGTCTGTACTGCAGAGTATCCTATCGAAATTAAAATAGCCACGTCTATGAGAAATCTGCTAGCGTCTTTATAATAATCCAGTAAATGTTACCTTTTTATGTTAGCCAAACGGGCCAGCAAAGCCAGGCAATAATGCTATAATAATACAGTAGTGAAAGCATTAATTACATAAAAACATAACATTTTATATTGATTATTATTATTATTGTTGTTATTATTATTATTATTATTATTAAATATTTGCAGTAGACTGATTAAAATTTTGGCTTACGGCCATATCACGCTGAAACACCAGTTCCCGTACGATCACCAAAGTTAAGCAACGTCTAGTCTTGTCAGTAACCTAGAAAGCTGGATACTGTAAGCTTGGGTGTGATAATGGGTGGGGATTTTTATTGGTTGTATTCACTTACGTACATATGCACTTGGGAAATGTATGAATCCACCTCTTCTCCCCCTAGTTATGGGCTAATTAGTGGGACTTGTATCATTATTATTCTTAGAATTTAAAAATATTTTCTGGCTTTAAATAACCCGCAAAAGGCTGATAAACCTAGATAAACGAATCAATCGATCAATGCTTAAAATTTTACCATCAAGTCGAACATATTGTATTTTCCTTATGTGCTATCTATCTGATGTCTCGTGGCATATAAAGATGTTTGGAGACGTTAATTCAGTCGAAATGTTCCAAGTGGTGGGATGATTATACCTACATTCAACCTCTGTACTCTGTCAGGATTTCCTACACCTAAGACAACCATGTGTTCACACGCGAACGAGTTTCATATCCATAGGTTTTAGTAATTCAGAGTTTTCCTTTTCCTAACTTGTAAAAATATGCCCTACTAGTTAACCCATACCCGGGGTATTTTAAATATATAATTCAGTGCAACACTATATTTTGATAAAAACTAAATCAATATCGTTATATATATATATATATATATATATATATATATATATATATATATATATATATATATATATATTCAGATTTATCATTATTTACTTATTTATACTCAGAGTAATTCAGTTCTCCTTTTCCTAGACTTGTAAACATATACCCTACTATTGAACCCATAGCTGAGGGATTTTAAAAATATAATTCAGTGCATCATTGGATTTTGATAAAACTAAATCAAGATCGTGCTATATATATATTTTTTTAGATTTATCATTATTTACTTTATTTATATTCAGAATAATTTATTTTTTTTACTTAAAGGTACCCAACATCGGTTTCAAGAGAAGAACGTTTGAAAATTAATGGCAAGAAAGGATTTGCTACGATTATATTCATCTATTATATATGAGATGTAGATATTTATACGGCCTCGGTAGCGGATCTTACGTGAGCTGGAATAGACTGACTGCAGTGTGAATACAACTGGGAGTAAGCATTCAAACGTTGGTATAATTGGATATAAATCAAATAAGAAACTAACAAATTTCGTTATAAAACAAAAGAAAGAAATCATTGCCTGCTTTAAGCATGAGGCCCGATTCACCTTCATTTTGTATCACTTTTATAAAATAAAATATTTCTCATACTTCATCAGAGTTTTTAGATGACTACTTAAAAAAAAAATTCTACAAAACGCGACGCTCGTTATTGTACAGATGCAGAAGGCGATTATCGCTGAGTGGGTAGGGCGTATTCACTATGTGTTGTAGAGTGGTTTCACAGTGGAGGCTTGGATTTGTACTAAGTCGCCCCTAAAAAAAGTTCGACGTACAAAACGTTAGGAATTTGATATAATAGGTAATGACGCAGTAATCTAGTTGGGTGGCTGATACTTTAATATCCGACTATCGGTCGTCTGACATCGACTGACTGACCAACGATATTTAGTCACCCCCCCACCCCACGAGGGCATCATGTGGCACAAGGCCGGTTTAACGTGGGATCTCCGAGCCCGTTGGGATCTCTGAGCCCGTGGGCTCGGCCAAAATATGCCCATTGAACCCGTATAAACGGGTTCAAGGTCGGTTTACCTCCCCGAAAGAGAATCCGCCCTTCGGCGTAGCCTCTTTCGGGTTCCTCTCCGCCCGAAGGCAGAGAGTTCAACCGATCAGCCAGTCGACTGACTGACCAACTATATTTAGTCACCCCCCACGTGGGCATCATGTAGCGCAAGGCCGGTTTGACGTGGGATCTCCGAGCCGTGGGCTTGGCCAAAAATATGCCCATTGAACCCGTATAAACGGGTTAAGGGTCGGTTTACCTCCCCGAAAGAGAATCCGCCCTTCGGCGTAGCCTCTTTCAGGTTCCTCCCCGCCCGAAGGCAAATAGTTCAACCGATCAGCCAGTCGACTGACTGACCGACCCCCTGAGCGACTCCTCCTACTCCTACTTATTATAGGTGGGAGAGTCTATTAACTATAGAATAGGTGTGTTCCACTATAACACTATGGTCACGTGAATCCCGGTGAGTGACGACGGCAAGTGGAGTGATGAACAGGAGTTGCTGTGTAGACCGAGAAGAACGCAGATGTGATAGTGGCGACAACGAGACGCTCGCTAATGTATGGATGCATAAAGCGATTGTCTCCCATTTGGTAGGGGGCGAATTAACGAGGGTCACGTAACGTCCGGTGTGACGTCAGCCTGGGGGTGACAAATGCTCGTTCAGTGACGGTCAGCGGTTACTGTGTAGACCGAGAAGAAGGCAGACGTGATAGTGCGTGACGACAACCAGACGCTCACTGACGTAGGGATGCATAAGGCTCTCATTTGGTAGGAGAAACTTAACGAGGGTTGTGTGACATCCGGTGACTGAATCAACCTTGGTGGAACTGTGACGACGGCTCGTGGAGTGATGTACAGACCTAAAAGAAGGTTGAGTGATAGCGACGGTAACTAGACGCTCGCTAATGCATATAGCGGTTATCTCGCATTTGGTAGTGCGAATTCACGAGGGTCGCGTGACGGCCGATGAGTGATGTTAATCTGGTGGTGACGACTGTTCGTAGTGTGACGAACAGCATTTACTCTGTGGACTGCTAAGAAGGTAGACATGATAGCCATCGGCAGCAAATAGAACAAATGGAAACCAAGTGCTTCCAACAAGGAACATAAAAGACACAACTCGCCTGGCCATTTTCTTACATGAAAGATTACAAGTAAGAAACTCTCTATTTTCATTCTTTCACACTGCTTGTTTTATCCATACGTGTTATTTTTTCTCTGTGTGAGACAAATAGCGACAGGTATATACATTTACACTATTTATATTGTTCTCATCTTTGTTGCCATATTCACGACGTTTCGGGGGATGGCACGTGGAATTAGAACATTCTGCGTGCCATCCCTTTGGATATCTCAATTTCATTCCCCGTTCTCAGTTAATTTCCCTTAGAATATTGTAAATAGTTACAATGCCTCATCTCAGAAATAGAGACATAGGTAAATACATATTTTTGTATATAATATATGACATATCTTTATATAAAATCTTTTTGAATACAATGCATATTTGGCGTTCATTTCTTTTAGCTATTCTGGTCCTTCCTCCCGTCGTGTTAAAGTATTAGTATATCACGAATATACTAATACCTATTATGGTTATTGGAGACTAGAGGTAACCAAGATAGTTTTTCTCTCTTTCCAAGTATCCAATTACTATTTTACAGTGAGTCTATAATATCCTTTTCGTGCCCCTTCTGTTGCGCTTTCATTGCATCAATCAAGTAGCAAACGAGATAAGCCTGTCTCTTGAAACTCCCGAGTGGTTGCTTCGCTGATAGATATCTTAACCTTCTCAATATCAAGGATCAGTCTTTTTCCTACATATAAGTTGTACTTCTTACCCCCCTTTATGTTCATATAACAACCTCATTCAGTAACGCTCTACCTTGAGTTGCTCTTGGGCCTTGTATGATAATAAATGAAAAAAATCCCAGATTTAGTCTCGTATTCTTAGTAACAGTAACAATACCAATACGAAATGAAGTACACCTAAATTTTATAGATTATGTAAAATCGTTTGATAAAATACGTCACGAAGAACTATTTGAACAGCTAGGTAAGCTTAATTCATTTGGGAAGGATATTGCAACAATCTACAACTTATACTGGAATCGAAACTCCTGTATACGGATAGAAAATGAATTCAGTAAATACAAAATAATAGAAAGGCGCGTAAGACAATGATGTGCCTTCTCACCGGACTTATTTAACCTTTACAGTGAGGAGATTCTGCGAGAATCCTCTCCTAGTCCTATCAAGATTCATTACTGGTGGCCACAATCTTAACGATATAAGACAGGTAGATGACACAGTGTTGATAGCAGACACAGAACTTAAACTACAGGCACTCCAACAGAAGGTAGCAAAGGAAAGCGAGAGAAAAAAAGGACTAAATATCAATTGTAAGAAGATAGAACAAGCAAGATACGAACTATGGATTGAAGATACCAAAATAAAACTGGTGCACAAATTTAAATATCTAGGAATTCTTTTAACAGTGGACGGAAAATGCAACACTGAAATCCGAAGGCACATCGGAATAGCGAAAGATGTCTTCTGTTTTAGAGTAATTTTCACAGTGGAGGCTTGTATTTCACTAAGTCGGTCCTAAATTAGGTTCGACGTACAAAACGTTAGGAACTTGAAATAATAGTTAATGACGCAGCAATCTAGTTGTGGTGGTTGCTACTTTAAGGTCCGACATCGACTGACTCACCAACTCCACTGAGCCCTGGCGACTGCTAATACTACTACTTATTATATCTAGGAGAGTCTATTACAATAGAATAGGTATGTTCCGGTATAACATCTTCTAAAAGAAAAGTATTAAGAAACAGGAAAAAATTCTTAGAAATAAAGAAAAGAGTATGTAATAAATGTCATATATTGCAGCGAATCTCATCACAAATGGAAAAGAGACTTGAGGCAACAGAAACATGGTTTTATAGAAGGATGCTGAGAATACCATGAAATGAATTTGTTAGCAACGACGAAGTTTTAAGGAAAACTGAAACAAAAAGGACATACCTAAAATCAGAAAAAGACAGTTGAGATTTCTAGGGCACATAACGAGAAAAGAGGGTTTGGAAAATTTGATACTCACAGGGCATGTTGATGGCAAGAGAGACAGAGGAAAGTAGCGAAGAACCTACCTAACGAAATTGTGTAACTGTTTAGCAGAACAGGGATTATGAAAGATGGCAAAACTTTCTAAGAGCTACAAAGGGCAGCAAGTTGTGGAGAACCATAATCGTCCACGTCCTGAATGGACACGGTATGTAGTAGAAGAAGAAGACAGTCAAAAAATAAATATTAGTAACAACAGTTGGGTGCAACTGAGGCACATCCCCAAATGGAGTGGGGGTAACAATTTCAATGGGTGGTGGCCCTGAAAAGGGCCGTTTTTGCGTTCTCAATCTTGGAAGGAAGGTATCTCTTCCATGTACTGTCATAATAATAATATACGATAATTTTTATTTATAATATAAATTTTTAAAAAATTCTTTTGCGTTAGATTTCAACTCTCTAAATTAATTGTATGCTGTTTTTTAGACATTAAATTTTGCCTATGATTTTTGCGCAATGTGTAAAAAATCAGTTTGTTCGATTTTTCACCTTCAAACTTGTAATTTTTTCCAGCTAATTTGGACTCAAAACCGGCACTGAAGAATTATCTATCAAAAAAAAAAAAAAATTTCATCGAAATGAAAACTGTGGAAACGCATAAACGACATCCAAATAATTATTCAAATTAAGTTGAATTGAGGTGTTTAGTCCCGTTTCATCCCGAAACGGGGCTAAACACCTCAATTCAACTTAATTTTAATAATTATTTGGATGGTTTCGGCCTCGTTTTTGAAACATGAGAACTCTTATGTAAGCGAAGGAATCATATTTTTAAACAAAAAATATTATTATAAAAAGCTCTACTTCCGTATGGAGCACTGTCTTCTTAAAAATAAAAACAAAATACTAAGGAACCACGGATATGCACCCAACGTGTTCTTTTTCTATTTTCTGCATACCTGCGCACTTACATATACACACACACACACACATATATATATATATATATATATATATATATATATATATATATATATATATATGAAAACGTAAGGTGAAACGTAGGTAGGTTTTGCCTTACTCCTTAGGTTTATCTTAGTAGATCTACTTCATGTATTGAGCACTTTATATACTTGCCTTTACTCGTTTTGGAGTTTTTTTTTCTTTGGACTCTGAGCTTGAGCTCTGGACGATTGTTTTTAGCCTCAGTTTCATGTTCTTAGTT